AAGTTACCCAGAACAAGACAAAGACTCACTGAAGAGTGCCAGTTTGTGTTTCAGCTCCCTCTGCTTACACAGAGCCAGACAAGACATGTTGATAACAACCACAACCAAGATGTCAAGATGGTGTTTCGTCCGAGCCCTGTGCTGCATAGAGAAGAACTCTGAATAATTGAACTAACAAGTGACAGAACTCAATAAATGCTCCCTGATGGTAGACTAAAACACCTCTGATTGCCTGGTTATTATTGGTGCATGTCTATGTATAAAGCCAGGTTCATGTTGCAGAATCCACACCACCAGCCATTAGATAGTTTTATCCACAGTCTCACACCGACACTTAAAACGATAAATAACAGAACTTTGTTGATTGGTGGGCAAGACATCCTTACAGACAGATGGGAAAGAACTTCTAGTAGCAAAGATGTTCTATACTACTAGAGAACTGAAGCAGTGTATGACTATTGAGGAGATCTTATCAGCACATAATTTACTATAAGAGCCAATCCAAGGTAATCTCATGTAGACAGGAGACTTAGGTGGGCCAAATGTTTTAATTTCCTTAAACTTAGAAATTTTAATGTTAGTTTGATGATACCTTCCAGATAGCTGTTGGTGAGAAAGATATTAGTAATTTCTAATTTCGGCATCAAGTTTGCACTCCAAACATATCATCAATGCATGATGAGTAAGTCTTTGAAAAAGTTAATTTTCCTAAACTTAGAAGCAAAAGAGTCCAAACTGAGATATAATCCAATAAAAGAGGGCTTCCTATATACGATGGTGAGTATAGAAGTAGGAGTTCTCTCAACCAGCATGTCCAGAAAAAGTAACGTATTATTATTCTCTATACCATCATCATAAATTGTAAAGAGTGGTGGAGACTATTTAGATGTTGAAAAAAAAACCTGTCTGCCTCATTATGTGATGAAAAAGACATAAAAGTATCATCAACATAATAGAAATAGCAGTATGGTTTAGGGTCTTTTAGATGAGGAGATCTTATTAGCATATGATTGTTAACATCTTGGCTTGGCTCTTATAATCAATCTGGCCATTAATATTTATTTTGTATCTTTTCTTTATAATTCTGAGTTAAAGATACAGAATAAATATTAACAGCTTTTTCAAAAGTTACTCCTTTTCATTCTTTTCTTTAATTATGAGAAACATGAGCTTACGGAAAAAGTACTATGATTCATTATTTAAGCATACATATACATACACACATACATTTCTTTCTTTCGCTTTTGGATCTGTGAAGCCTAGAAAGGCAAACTGTGTAATCAAATCTAGTTTCAATGAAACATTTTTTCATTTGTCAAATTTCTTAAAAACTTTGTCAGGATTCTATATCCTATTTTAAACACACACACTGTGTGTATATATATATATATATATATATATATATATATATATATATACGAGTGAACTGAAAAAAAAGGTTTGTCTACAAAACTGGAGTTGGCGTGCTGAATATAACATCAATCAGCTGACAAATTTTATATTTGTGTAAATATATATATATATATAATTAGAAAAATATGACAAACTGGAAAGGTTTTTCTGATGCATTTCATGCATTAGGATTTAATTGGACTGGGCTTTGATGATGTTATCATGTCAAACACATGCACACAAAATGAGAGATGAAGGTAGTTTCAAATTTTTTTTTTTTTCAGTCTATCTGAAATCATCTGCATTCTTTTTTCTTTATCACCTTTGTTCCTGATTATCCCATACTGTGACAATATAAAATCAACCAAGAATGGTGGTATATTGTAAAAGCCTGGACACAAATTTATTATGGCTGAACTGGCAATCAAGGCTCTTACAATATATCATTATTCTTGGTAGATTTGATATTGTAACAGTGTGGGATAATCAGGAACAAGGTTGGTGGAGAGATAAAGTAAAAGAATACAGATGATTTCAGCTAGAGTGAAACAAAAAAAAATTCTTTCAAAAAATTTTGAAACTACCTGCATCTCTCATTTTGTGTACATGTAGATGTAGCAACATCATCAAAGCCCAGTCTGATGAAATCCTAACGGATGAAACGCGTCATGAAAACCTCTCCAGTTTGTCATATTTTTCTAAAAAGTTTGTTGATATATCAAATTATACAAAATTATGTCATATATATATATATATATATATATATATATATTATATATAAATATATACATTATTCTTATTATTATTAATACTTTGGTGCATAGTATGCAAACAGATTTTGACATAAAAGGTTAAAAAAGTGTGTCATATATTGAAAAATTAGGTAATAATCTCAATTATTTTTTTTTTAAATTCAGAACTCAGAATTCCTTTTTAAAATCACTTGAAAATATTTTTAATTTTTTGGGGGATGTCACAAATAAATACAAATATTCATTAAAAAGAAATGGAATGCATTGAGCTATTAGAAACTTCTGATTTCTTTTACAAGTTGAGAATTATTAATGTGCAATATGTTATAGAGGGTTATGAAAAGTTCTTGGCTTAACCTACTTCCCAAAATCTGAGCATTATTTTGCCACAGAACTTGGAAGGAAAGAGCATTCTTTGTAAACTGCTAATTCATATGATCTTTGCAGTAATTTTAAAAAATTTGTTTTAGATCCATGGAAAATGGGCAATTTTCAGGTGTTTGCTGTCCTGCAAAAGAAAACTCCAAAGCAAATGATGTAAATATTTAAGTGACATGTACCCACCACATTCAAGTGTGATAGAAATGGTGTACCAATTTCCAATGTGGATATTTTGAAATGCAAGATGTTATTACAGTCTGAGAGGGCTTCAACTCTTGGTCACACCCAAAAAAATTGCTGAGACAGCGATATCCAGAGAATGCAGTTATTTGATATGCAGAAGCTACGAGCCAAATGGGTGCCAAAATGTTAGAATGTGACCAGAGACAGTATCAAGTATCAAGATGATTTTGCAGCAAACTCATGATCATTTTTGTGAACAAATTGATTGGTTGGTTTAGTTTAGCAGCATATCAACCACTATGAGTTATTTAATTCTGAAATCTAAATATTTTGAATGCAATGGTATGCCTTCAATTACAGATAAAATGTATTGTTAGTATTTTTTTAATAGAAAAATGTATTGCTGGCATTTTTATACTTTCATAGTGTTATGCTTTTGTTTGGGAGTTTACTATTTGTCCATAGCTGGGACCCTAACAGGCACTACCACCCAGTCTCAGGGTGTACCTGGAAACAACAGCAATTAAGAGGTGGTTCCACACTCCTTAGACCCTCTAATCTCCCAATTAGAGGCCTTACTGCCAGATGTAGTTTATTCACGTACCCAGGACAACGTGAATAAGTTATCATTGTTGCTGAAACATGGTTATACTACTATAATTTTGAGACCAAAGTGGCAGGACGCAGCTTCCCCCACAGCTAAAGAAATTCAAGGCCTAAAATTTAGCAGGGAATTCATGACCAACGTTTGAGATAAGGAAGGTATTTTAATGACTGAATATCTACATGAGAGGCAAAAACAGTTACTACAGAATACTACTTTAACTTACTTTGCAGATTTAAAGGAGTAATTAAAAGAAAAATAGCAAAGGAAGCTCATAACAGTGCATACATTTGCTCAGAAGGCAGTAGCAGAGCAGTATTTCAATGAGCAAACTTTGTTTTGAAGGATTAAAGAAACTTAAGAAATGTGTCAAATATACATTGAACTGTGGAGTGAATATGTAGGATTGTGTTTTCATGGATCAAAGAATGCCTTTCTTGACTGGACAGGAACTTTTCAGCACCCTTTTGTTGTAAGATTCCTTATTTCTTTAAATATAATTTTTCAAAATGGTGGAATCATAATTCATTTTTTGAGACAATGTGAAAACTGAAGAGTACCGTGTAGAATTTGCTCATAATGGTAAAAAGTGGGGATGGATGCAAATTGAATGATCTTGCTTGAGTCAATCAACAAAACCTTTAGGCTTGACTTGACAGTTTGTTTCCTTATCACAAAACTTAGCTGAATTTAAAAAATATTAGAAGCAGAAAATTATTATTTTTTTTTTCACTGCCACGAAGAAAAACATAAGGTACATATTTTTAAGGTTTAATAACACAGGACCTGAGCATATCGACTTCTGTGTAAGCTTGAGGCAAATATCTCGTAGCTAATTTGTATTCTTTTTTCTTAAATACTTAAACTTACAGAAATATAAAACAGTCAAGCATTTCAAATTAGATGTCTTCATATTTTAAAGCTCGCTGATGACATTATTTTTCAGGCTGTTTACTTTAGACTAAAAAGTCTTAGTGTTTTGTTTACTAACAATATTTTCTTTTCGTACATTTTTTTTTTTTTACAAAGAAACAAATTAATTTCAAAATAGAATCAATTATCAATATATCGTGATATCCTTATTTTAACGGTTAAAAAGTTTAAAAGCAATCATTCATTTTTTGTAAATTAAAAATTCTAGTTCATTCGAATATCTCTACTCGTTTTGAACGATTGTTTTTTCCAAAAATCATTTAAAAAAAAAAAAAGGTTAAAGAATTAAAAAAACAAAAAAAAAACTTGAAAGACAAATTTGATAATATACGATGTGAATAGATTTTTTAAACTAGGGAGTTTATTACACTTATTACTAAATTACACTTTTGTTAAATTTTTTTTATTTTTAAAATGATTTAAAAAATCTGCTTTATTGACAACCAACTGTGGAATAACATCGTTTAAGCTACTTCAAGTTTGTGAAAAAGGTTTGGGGGTTATTCAATTTATTTTTCAATTTTTTCATTAAAAAAAAAATTTAAATCGCTTCTAAAATTCTGCATAATAACCTCGTAATGAAAAAGTGATTTTTCTTTTCATTTTATAAAAAAAAATTCAATTACACCATTCAACACACCACCAAATGAAATTAAAAAAAGAAAAAAACATTAACACGCTTTTTCGCTTTGAATAGAAGACAATTTCTTTCTGCAACAAAAAGTGGAATGGCTGGAAAAAATCAAGCGCAGTACCTGTCCGACCCTTTCAAGGTTGTATGGGTCTTCACTCGAAAGCTTTTCTTAAACATCTCTAGGCCTTTTCTTTTGTTTTAAAATTATTGCTACACTGCAAATTAATAAAGATAGATGTTACTCTTAGGGCAAAATAATGGGAAAAGAACACACAACACCTCTAACCACCATTAGTGCTTTTTATTAGATTAGAGAGTTCTGCTTCCTGCTCTAGTATTGTGAGCACGGAGAATTGGTAACAAGAATTAAAACGTGTTAATTCAGTAAACTTAAGGAAAACTTTATTGGATTTTTAAATTGTAGTAAAAATATTAAGCCATTTAATGTTTTACATAAGATAAAAAAAAACAGTTTATAAAACTAAGATACAAAAAATTGTTTGGCAAGCAGACGATCGAAATGATTCTGATTTTTAAAAAAATCCCGCCTTTTTCTCCAGTTTTGTTATATTCATTTGTTAGTATGAACACACTCAGTCGTATCGCTAGAAAATAAGAACACTCTTTTTTTGTAAAATTAGAATTTGGAGCCTTAACAACGTATGTATCTAAAAATCGGCCCAATTCATAATCAGTGACAATATTTCCATTTACACCGCCGTGTTTGATAACGTTCGCCTTTTAGACGACGTGTTTATTTGATTTAATCACTCAGCAGGCGTAGCCAAGTTCCAATCCGATGAATAATATTGAGAAATAGGATACCTGCTTTTTTCACTTTATAAGTTTACGAAGGTTTGCAGAGAATCATACCGTTTAAATCAGGACCTAGCAATCAGTAATTTTTTTTTAGTGGTATTGATTTTTTTTTTTTTGTGAGGCAAGTTATTTTTCGTCTCTTATCGATTAGCAACAAAGTAATCTTTTTACATCTCAGGAGTTTGCATTTGAGAGAATTTTATGAAAAATAAAAAGTAAATATTAGTATTATTAACTGTTTATTTTTTATTGTCATAAGAAAAGACACTTAAATTTTTTTCAAAATATTTTTTTAATGGTTACACTGTTACAACAACGTGTACTTGGAGTTTTCGACCGGGCACACTTTTTTTTTCCTGCAAATTTTCCCTTACTACACGAACCCACGAAGAATAAATGGAAGAATAATTGAAATAATCAAATTAATATTTATATAAAATTTGGATATTTACACTTTAACTAACGGCTCGGGGTTGGATTGTGAGTTAATTGGGTTGACCATTGGCATAAAATAAAAGTAAAACTAAAAACTAAATGAGTTCGATCATAACTTGGTAAACTACTGGTGCGAAACTCATTCACTAAGTTGTCTGTTAATTCCTTGATTCAGCAGAATTCACTTAGTGTTTTTAATAAAGTTATAAATTTTAAAAATGAATTCTAAACCCCCAAAAGTCAAGTTCATAAGCTTTTTTTTAGCAAACATCACGATGGTATTACTTTTTTTTTACTATGATGGATGTATTTTTTCAACAATTCATTAAAAATTTGTGAACATTTTGTTTGAACTAACGAACAGTTTGTACGTGTTTCGAATCAGAAAGCAAGAAGTAAACAAAAAAAAAGCCAATGCTAATAATGATCGATCGATAAAACAGCCAAAAAAAAACCTTGCTCAACTAGAAAAACAATGTTTCTTATTTTAAATAGCAAGGTCAAAGTGTAATTTTTAATTTACAGGTGCGAAAATTAGCCTAAAAAGTTGAAATTAAAAATGACATACCTTTCCTCCTTGCTGTTCCAGAATCTTTTACACACACAGCATGGTAATGTTTTTGTTTTACTTTTTTTTAGTTAAAAATATTTCTATCTGCAAAGAAAGAGAAAAAAAAGGTTTGTCTTCTTTGCTGTTGACCCTCCCCCGTTTCATTAAAGAAAAAAACGGCCATGTTTATAAGCATAAGTGTTGTGTACTTACTTAACATGTTTTTCGATTTTTTGAGAAGAAAATTTAGAACCTTTGCTGACAAGCTGTGAATTCTATCTGTTGTTTTTGTTATTTTGAAATAATTAAATAAAATGATAAAATTACAATTTTATCAGCAGCTGGGTAGTGTTATGAGCACAAAAGCGTGTGTGCATAATTCTAATTTTAATTTAAGTAATTTTTACCGCCCCTGTAAACTATAAAATTTAATTACAGTACCTGATCCGGTGATAATTAGTGATTCAGTTTGTTATAGACAAGCGTATGGTTGCAAGAAAGAAATACGACAACAGCATGAATAGATTTACGTGGTTTATTTCAACACGAACGTGTGGGTTTGGGACAGCTACCTTGTAGTAAAGTTCATAAGCCGGCTTCGGATCTAGGTCGATCTCTCATAGTAGTTCACATATGTTGATGGTGGTTGATGCTCCCTGCTGACAGCTGCCTGACCGTGACAGGTCTCCATCCTGGGCACCTGTGAACTATATTTAGTCGTCCCCCCACGAGGGCGTCATGTGACACAAGGCCTTTTTAACGTGGGCATTTCCGAGCCATTAGGCTCGGCCAAAAAATAGCCCATTTGAACCCGTATGAACGGGTTCAGGGCCGGTTTTACCTCCCCGAAGGAGACTCCGCCCTTCGGCGTAGCCTCCTTCGGGTTCCTTCCGCCCGAAAGCAGAGAGTTGCACCGAACCGTCGCTCAAGAGTTGGACCTGTGGACTACCTGTTGAACTTCCGTGTGACCCCTTTTATGTTTTTTTTTTTTTTTATGGCTTTACAGGCTCGAAAAACGAAGCGAGTATAATTAGGGAGGGAAGCATTTTTATTGGACGAAAAATAGAACACTTTAATTATTATTTTATTTTTTTCGACCGGAACTTGTGTGTCGGGAACTTTTGTAATTGAAGGTAATGGTCATTTTGTGACGGGGTTTTGTCCCGTTCACATCCGGCTCTTGCTCTTGAGTATTTGCCTGTAAATCAGCCGAGATATGTCTTATATTATTTTATAACAAGGCTCCCCAGACATCGGTCTGATTTACAGTGAGCGCTATTCGTGCATATTTTGGTGATTAATTCATGATAAAGTCTCTGAAGCGTGTGGGAAGTTGTCCTCGTGTTCTTCTTATTGGCATTTGTTTTGGTATGGGGTTATTTGCTGAATTATGTGTCTCCGAGGGATGTGGAGGAGAATGATCCTGGTGACTGTTACATGGTGGAGGCAGAGGGATTATATTAGAAAGATGTGTTGGGCGTGGAGCCAGTCGTCGGATATGGGCACGGTGAATCCAGATTGTATCACCATCATCGTTTTGCACCTGACACATCATATTGTTCGTTTTTATAATGGTGTAATTTCCTACCCAGGGCAGATGAGAGGATTGGGCAACAGTTGAGTGGCCGATGAAGTAAAACCTTGTCGCCTACTTGTATTGGGTCCTTGTATGTGAGGCGATTTATGTTAGTCTCAAGTTTGTGGTCAGCTTCATCGTTGGCCAGGGTGACGTGGTGGTGAACCTGCTTTAGCAGGGCATTAATTTGCATTCCATATGCTCCAGGACCGTCGCTTGTGATTTCTTTTCTGTGTAGTGTAGGTAGGCCGATGTTGGGGTGACGGCCAGTAATAGCATAGTGCGGGGAGACACCAGTGGCGCTGTTGGTCGTGGCATTCATGGACGAAACGACAGATTCTAGAACATCTGTCCATTCACAGTTTCTGTCTTCGCATAACATATAAAGTGCGTTCTTCATCGTGCGATGTTGTCTCTCGATATTTCCTGAGCTTTGCGGGCGCCAAGGACAGTGAAGTTCTTGCATGATTGACATCTGGTTACAGAATTGTCGATAGACTTCTCCAGTGAAGTGTGTGCCTCGATCAGAGAATACTATGCGTGGAATCTCTCTGTATCGAAGGAAGAAATGGTACAATCCGCGGGCGGCGTCGATAGCACGGTCTCTCGCGCATGGTAAGGCTGTAAAATGTCGGCTAAAGCTATCCAAGATGGTTAGGATGTAGCGTGTTCCCTTTGAGTTGGGCATTGTGACAAAGTCTATAAAGACGAGATCGAATGGTCTCTTTCCTCGTTTGCAGTGGCCAATGGGCCAGTGGGTACGTTTACCGTAGTTGCTCTTGCACTTAGCACACGTGTCGCAAGAATCGACATAGGCCTTGATGTCGCGGTTTTTGAATTCCCACCAGTAGCTGGAAAGGAGTTCTCGCATACGGGTAACACCTGAGTGGTTGTTGCCCTCGTGTGCCTGGTAGATGTATCTGGGTCGTAGTTTGTATGGTACAACCAATCTCGGAGAGTGTTTACTGTCTCTTATCATCAAAACGGAGGTGCCTGGTTCTAGAAAAAATTGGTGCAAATGTTTTTTGAAAAGCGTAGCTCGGTGGTCGTCAGGATCGACATGAGGTTCGCTTGGAGTGGATGACTGGAGGGCGCTGATGATCTTTGCCAGGGCGTCGTCCTTCAGTTGTTCATCTGCGATGCCGAGGTGGTTGCAGATTCTCTCAGTGGGGATGGTGGTGGTGGAGTGATAGGCGAAGAATGCGTTGGTGGCGCGCTTGTGGGTGCGGGCGTTTTTGTGGTGTGTGAGTTTTTTGGAATGAGCTGTAAACCGTTAAACTCGCCGAGGCACCAAGATGGGATGTATACGCAGAGGTCTGAACCGCTTACCTCGAATGTCCTGCCTGCCGGTGTAGGGTCGTTCGGGGCTTTTGTTTTCTTATGTCCGCAACCTCTGCTGAGCATGTCAGCCCATACATTTGATTCGCCTTCAACATATTCCAAGACAAATTTATAACATGAAATTTCTTCTTGCCATCGTCGTATTTTGGCATTATTGAACTCTCGTTGGTCCAGATACGTCAGCGATCTGTGGTCGGTGAAGATGACGAAGGGGCGGTTGCGAAGGAAATAATCAAATTTCAATATTGTCCACTTTATTGCATATGCCTCTCGTTCCGTCGTGGACCAGTTCTGTTCCGTGGAGTTGAATGTATGGGAAGCGACCGCTATGATATCTTTCTTCCCGTTGTCGGCTTCTTGCATTATGATTGCTCCACATGCTACGTCACTGGCGTCGGTGGTGAGTGTGAAAAGTTTGGAGAAATCTGGAAACGAGATGACGGGTGGTGAAGAGAG